TACTAATTTCAATGACCGTTTAAACTTCTCACTGTACATATTAGATCAGGGATGGGTAAACTTTTCGGTCGCGGGCAAAGATCGAAAAAGAAAAAAAAAAAAAAAAAAAAAAAATTGAAGGGCAAGATAAATTTTCTAAATTTTAAAAAAATATAAAAGTACTAAACTTAAATATGTTCATGAGATGAATGAATTGCCATTTCATTTTTAAAAGTTCCTCATATTGAGGTTCGAAAGGAGATGTACTAATTCTAAGGAACGAGGCTAAAATGTTTGTCGGTCAGTCTGCTTCTGAAATAATTCTTTCTAATTTTCACAGTCGAAAACATTGTTCACATGTATAAGATGAAGAAAAACCTGCACTGATTTTCTGGGGAGAAGATAATAGATTTGGAAACTATTTCGATATGCAAAACTCTAACTTTGGCAACTTGGCTCAGTTAGAAACAACCGCTCGAGATGATTGTTAGACTGAACTCAATTTTCCAGCTGAAAACTACCTCACTGCTTCACAGTTTACTTCAAAGGCATGGGTAAAAAATCCCTTCTGTTTGAATGATACTGAAGTCTTTAAATCTGCTTTCGAACTCAAATGCAGTTATTTCAAGCCATCTTAAATCTTTCGATTATGTTTTGCAGACAAAAACGGAGAAAGTATTCATCAGTCCTTTAATAAAAATAATAATTTTAAACAATTAGAAAGGAGAGGGATATTTAATATATCAATATATTTTTTTATTCCACCTTTAAATTCTATGCCGGCGGGATATAGGACCTTCCGGCGAGCCGGAGTGGCCTCGAGCCGTGGTTGCATCGTGCAATAGATAAAATACGTGGATAATATTTTATATGTTATCAATAATTAGTAAGATATAAAATTTTAAGCAATATTAAAAAATAAATTATGATGTCTATTTCTGCTAGTTGGAATTTCACCTTAAACCTAAATGGACAAAGAAATTTTTTTCGCCTTCGGCTATCGAAATCCAAACCTTAATTAATAATATTTTGTGTTATCAACTTTTTCTGTACAAGTTCTTGGAAAATCTTGATAATACAGGATAATAAGCTTTTTGTAAAAAATTATACTGAATAGGTCAATATTGCGCATAATAGTGAAAAGAGCCTTTAGTTAATGAATAAATTTATTATGTTTTTTTATTAAATATGCATTTACTTTTTTATTCCTTGTACGAAGTAAAAGAAATATTACTATTATTAAAAATTACTACGATTATTAACTTATATTATAAAATTTTCATTATTAATTATGTACGAAGTAAAAGAAATTAATAATTTTGACTATTTTTTGGGTGATTTGCCACCCGTACGTACAGAATAAAGTACTCCTCCACCGGAGGTTTTCTAAAAATCAATGCTCGTATCCAATTCCCGTCTGAGAAAATTCACGAAACTCCCCTTAAAGAATTCTCTGAGGATCTGAACACTAGTCGATTTAGCAATTTCAGCATTTACCGTTTAACGGCTAATGAGTCTCAAGAATTTTTTAATTACTAAACAAATCAGGCCTTTTACCATCAGGTCATTAGGCGACGAACTCTCCAAACTTTTTAACAGTAAAAAAATATTTATTGCAGAACACTCGTCCAGAAAGCAGCGGTCGTGCCTTGTTCAGAGGCATAGCATTCCGTACCGTCCCATGCGCATAGGTTAAAAATCAATGCTTGAAGGCGTCGGCTGAATCTTTCCTATAAAGTTTTAGGTATTGGTATTGCTTACGGCAAAGCTCAAGGGCTATCTGCCTAAGGAGAGGAATGCCTTCGTGGAGGACTTTCTAAGGGAAAGCCCGTTACACGTTACACATGGGAAAAACACGAAAGCCCAAGTACCAGCCATTCGGGATTCGAGCCTCGGACCGAACTACCAGTATTCAGCGACTTACCTCTGCGGCTGGTGGGGCCTTATACACTTTTAGAGCGCCTACTTTGCTTAGGCTCGAGAGTAACTTCCTTACCGTTTGCACTTTTATAGGGAGACCGAAAAAATTATACAGTTAATGATGTCGTTGTATTTTTGTTATGATAAGATTAATTTATTACAAAAATGTAGTGAATTTTTTTCCTGGAGAGAGAATATTTTTTCCAGTTCTAACTCGTAAATATGGTAAATGTTTAATAATTATTTTATTAAAACCATCTATTAAGTGTTGTAATAATTAAGTCATTATTCATGTTCATACAGGTCTCCAAACCAGCGGTAAGTCGTGAAACTGGTTTCGTTTATAACTCTGCTTGAAAAGGAAACATTCAATTTTATTTCTGAGAAGCATAACAGAATGAGAAAAAATTAATATGCAGAATTCAAAATATTCATTTACTTATTTACATTTGACAGAAAATTGCAAATACGTGTCGAAACTGGCTAATATTCAGTCTTTTCATTTTTATTTATTTCCTAAATTATTATTATTAAATCAAACATTAATTATCTATCAGGAAGCAAATTTAAAATAATAAATACTAGAACAAAAGCATAATAAAATCATTTAAATTATAGTTTAGCTTTACAGATGATGAAAGAAAAATTTCTTATATTATATTGATGGAGGGTGTACAATGTGGTGTGCGTTACTCTAATGTAAGTATACCTAACCTAATTTAATTATGCAATATCAAATTTCAATCAAATATAGATTTCTGCAATCTAGATTAAAAACAACTGCTGAACAACAGACTGAGTTAGTACATTGCAAACCTACACAGCAGTAATAAAATAAAAACATTACCCTCTATATCAGGGGTCTCCAAACTACAGCCCGTGGTCCAAATTTGGCCCACGAGCCTTATCAATTCAGCCAACCAATTTGTAAATAGTTTTATAAAATTTAAAAGAAGCAAGATACCATACACAATAACTATTTTATATAACAAATAATCGATAAATATATTTACAGTCATGCATGTTCTTTCTAAAGCATATTATAAAATATTATACTACTGTTTCTAAATTTACAATGAGTAAAAATACAGCCAACACTCTATTATAAAATTTGTCATATTTTTTTTTATGAGAAAAAAGGTTCCATACCCACTTTCATAGTAGAATTCTAGATTTGTTCATAAAAATTTTTACCAACAATTTTGTTTAAATATTCAAAAAAAATTTTTTTAATGTATATGTTAAAATTTATCATCGCATTTTGAGCCCCCCACAAATATGAAATGCCTATGAGAGAGTTTTCATCTGATCAAAATGTGATGCTAAATTGTTACAACAAGCAAGGAAATCCACTTATAAGTAAAATTACATCGCAAACCAAAGAAATCTTTGATATGCTGCGACAAGATTGTTTTTGCAAACGTTTAAACAATTTTAAGAAATTCATGTTAGGTGAAACAACATGAAATTCTAAAAACCCCATTTCTTCGGATTATCATAGTAATATAGATTCAAATTCATTATATTACATCACCACGGAGTGATGAATTAACTACGTATTGGCCGTCAAAAGATAGTAAAAGAGGTAATATGTCCTGCAGGCTAAAGAAGTTTGGAGACCCCTGCTATATATGAAGCAAATTCATAACATATAGAATGCTTTCATATTATGTAAAAATTACTAAACTGACAGTGCTGATTAATGATAGCTTTCATTTTAATTTTAAATGCTATTTCTGAAAACAAACGTACATTGTGTGCATAGAATAAACACATTTTATAAGAAATAAAAGTTAACAAAAGAACACATAAAAAAAAATCATGATCTCTCTAATTGATAAAGGTCAAATAAACTATGTTATTAAGTGCTTTAAAAATATCGCATCAGTTTACCTAATTTTTAACTGTAAATGAACAGAAAATTAAAAAAACTACACATAACAAGTAAAAATTAATCTGATTATCAAATAATACTGATTACAAGCAATCACTACATAACAAAGAATTAACAAATAGAAAGAAATATTGTCCAGTTAACAAACAGTTTATGAATAACTAGCTTTTACATTTACATCGCTTTTAAATAGCATTTTTGTAAAACAAACTGCTAGTTTACGAAAACTGCTGGAGACAAGATAATTCTTAAATGCTATAATGATAAAACTTAAATATTCAACAGATAGCATTAACTTCTTGCATGTTAAGGGGACATGTGACATGTCGACTGGCAAAATGCAACTATTTCGAGACGAAAGTTATTAAGATATAACTTTTCTCAAAATAAACTTATACACATGATTCATTTTTTTCATTTAAAATGCATAGATTACAGATTACAGAAAACACATAAAATATATATTAAATGCCTAATATTTTTAAAAACCAGTTGTTTAATTTCACTTACCTTTGACGAATCTCATCGGACAATGTGCTAGTTCGGTACACTTTTCTTAAAAGGTACTGCACCAATCGTCCTCAAATCGTGCATGGTAGTTAAAAATATATCATTTAAGAATAATAAGCAGTATTTTACATTTTACTTAAAAAGAAAAAATATTAAAAATAAATTAGTAAAATGCTTTGAAAAATCACAAAAAAATTAGTATTAAATTATTAATATATCCAATACTAATGCTCGTAAATTTTATATCCTGCATAGTTTCAAAGAAAATAGTAATGATAAACAACTATGGAAAATTGGCACCTTCCAGGTCGAATAGTTTTCAAGAAAAATGTACCGAAAGTTAAGAAAAAACACATTTTGAGAAAAACGAAAAAAAAAAAACATTTAAAAACTAATAATTTATAAAAAAAATATCATTTTAATATTTTCCTGTACCATAATCATCTTGAATTGACATTTCTACATCAAACTGTTTTTGTTTTATAAATTTATTTTTCTTTCTGGCCATTTTAGAAAGCTTTTAGTAAGCGAGCTGTCCCTCACGAATTCTAAGACAATCTATTTTTCTCAGACTCTTTACCATATAAAACCCTGGTTGCATTCCTAATAATTCCATTACTTTACTCCGGCTTTGTACACCATCATTAAAACATATTATGGCATCGAACAAACCCAATTTTAAGGTGATAATACTCACAAAAACAGTTTTTGGTATGCGTATCCAGATGCAATTATTAAAACTTTCATTGGGGTTTTGAGTTCGTCCGTGTAAGCACTTTGACAGCAGTTTTTTGTCAGACAGACTTCTAAACACAGCATTTCCACTTTTATGTCAGCATTTCCACTGTTATCTGCAACTGTTTCTTTTACAGCTTTCAACATGGATTCTTCAGCAATTTCTGATAATACAGGTAACAAAATTTTGTTATACTTCTGAAAGTCACTCACTTGGCGGAGGGGGTAAGTTCCTAACAGCGCAGAATGTCTCTGCAGCTTTCTTCCCTTTACCAATGCAACGCATTGCATAAGTAAGGCGTAAATTAACATCGTAGCATCTTTTAGATTTTTTAGATGTCACACTACTCGTAGAATATCCACATGCAGTACACAAATACAGTAAACTTACTGCAAGTCCTCTGCGGGAATTACTTTGGTCTATCACATCAAAAGAATCACATTTCCCACAGTTCTTACATTTTGCAAATGCCTTCAATAAATGCAATAATGTTTCTGTTTCAATTATAAAGTTTCTACTCTTCTGAGACTCTAAAAACTCATCTTCGCCATTAACTATGCCGATTTTGTACTCAGATGCACTCATATTTAGGGAAGACTTACTTACATTATGGGTAACATCTTTCACATATGTATGTTGATTTCCGATATATTTTCTCTTCCCGAATGATTTTTTTCTCGGCATTTCCTTTATTTAAAACTTTTATTCACTAACGATAACACAATAAAACAATCAAAAATAAACACAGAAAGCACGAATTTAAATGAAAAAGAATGAAAAGAATAGCGAAACACAAATTAAACAAAGCCAAGTTGTAAATACGAAATTCGACAATTATCCACTACACAGCTTAGTGAATAAGCCAATTTAAAAACGTGTGTTGCCAAATGTCTTTCAAAGAATCATATTCTGACCAAGGAAGTAATAAAAACTGCTAAAACATCTGTATGTGCAAGTGATAATAAACAACGATAAAACATCTGTCCCTTTAAACTTGTGGGCGTGCCAGTGCTTGTTTACATTTTAAACGAGAGATTTCGCCCTTTTAAAATTTCGAAACATGCATAAATTATATATTTTTGGAATCGTCTGAGTCTACTTTATTTTTCTAGCGCAAAATTGAAAATTCGAAAATTTTTATGTCGTTTGTCCCCTTAAGAAGCAAATCTTGTTTAATGTCTCCTCCTATATGAAATTATGTAATTTCCTAATTTCAAAATATTCGGTAACTGAAAATGTTTCAACCAAAAATTAAATAACACGTCTAAATATCAGTATAGCGTGAGCACTTTCACTACTAATTGCATTGAACACACATGCTAGGCCAAACGATCTTTACTCACCATAAAAGTTTTATTTATTCGAATTAATATGATTAAAAAATTTTGATGAAAAGTACGTAATATGGACAATATAAAAATACTAACCCCGAATAAAAAGAATCCTTACTTACCAGAATGCGTTTCTTATACTGTCACGTTTGTTTTACTTGCAAATATTTTGTTACATTGCACAAATTCATAATAAAAATATGGTGCCAAGAGTTTGTATTTTAACATAGAGCGAACACTTCGCCAAAGATAGCAACACATAATTCTGACGTCAGAAATCCAGGGCAACGGTCAGCGCCATCTATTGTCAAAAGGCAGCATTCGTAATTCTCAAAACACTTTAAATACGAAATTGCCCCTTTCTATATACCTTTCTTCCACTATGCTGATTTTACCTACGGTGCAGAAAGACTTAGCGGGTGCAAAACAAGACATCTGTGTATTTTGTCTGTCTACACGTTGTTAACCGGGCATCTTCTTGCTCCTCCCACTAAATGGCACCATCTTATTGGTTATAATGAATGTCAATCACGCATGACGTTCAGATGTAGAGTTTTGGTTTCGGGTTACTAGAAGAAGACCTCTATGTTTGTTATGGTAATGCAGAGCAACTCAAATGTCGCCAATTTGTCGTGATTTTGGGATCCTCGCGCATTTCTTCGTTCTTTACTGAAATATGAAATTTTTTGTTCGTTATTGTTCGTATGCAGACAGAAATTTTTCAGAAACTAATCACTAATTTTAATGCTTTAACGTATTAAACGCTATTTTATAAGAAGAAGCGTTTACAGTATACTTTGAAATACTTTTTAATCACTTAATACTATAACAATAATTCGTAGCACTGAAATACTTTTTTAAGTTTTTTTATAGTATTTCCTGAATTAAGTTTTTATCAGGATCATCAAAAGTCTTTCGATATGAAGAATGGTTTATTAATCTTTGAACAAATGTAATTTCAAAATATTAGTTCTAATTTTATTTTCTAACATCTCATAGTTAGATTGTTCTTTTATAATTTTGAACTTACGTTATCTTTTCTCAAATAAAATTCGTAAATTGTGAATGATCAGAATAGCTATTACTCTACACCGATTTCAGCAGGTTTTTATAACACAAAACAAGTATAATAATAAATGTTTAATAATTTTAACTTTATCTTAATTTAATTTGATTCTGTTTTTATATTGTAACAGATTATGCAACAACAAAATATCCTTGATTCAACTTACTTATGTAAAACTTGTCATTGTGATATATAAATTATACTTTATAATTGAGATTTTCATCAAATTTCTATGCACCTCATACAATTAGTTAATAATAAGTAAATGGTGTATCATGTTGTATATGGTTAAAACTTTGTAAAAAATTAAGAAATCATATTGCATGGTTTCAAATTATAAATAAACTGTTTAAATCTCTTTAATTAGCAAATTAAAATGGTTTGGATAAATTTATGTTACTTTTGTTTTGGATAAGTAATTATCGTTTCTTTTAGAATTTTCTGTTCAATAGTTTTAATAATTAAACATATGTTTGATTTGGATCCCATCAGTGGCCAAGCAGTAAAGTTACTGAATACTAATAGTTTGACCTGAGTTGGATTCCAATCGAAAGGGTTGGCTACATGAGCCTTTTTGCAAATTTCCAATGTGTAACTTGGATACCAACCAGTTTCCTCTAGAAAGTCCTCCACAAAAGCACTCCTCCCTTTTGACAAATAGCACTCACATTCTTTTGAATAGCTACCTTCATTTATAAAGCAAACTGAGCTATGTTTGATTTGAGATTAATTAAAAAATCAAAGGCAACTAAAAGCTAATTATCATTGATTTTTTTTTTAATTTTCTCTTCAAGTTAAACAGCAAAATACAACTGATAAGTTAATATAGTATAGAAACTAATACATAATTATCATACTGGATATTTTCTGGGCACTTGATATAAGAAATACAAAAATAAACTGTTGATTGACTCCATAAAAATAAACAGATTTAAAGATTTTATTCCAGTTATTGAAAAATTAGTATATATATTGATTAAATCTGTGCAAATTAAAGATTAAAACTTTAATGTGCAACTGATTTAATAGCAGAGTAGGTAACACTGTGATTTCTTGAATTTATGGGTTCCTGTGCTAGGCGAGGAAATGCTGACATCCTTAGCTATTTATAATTCATTCTAAGGAAGCATTAGATCTCTGTATAGTTAATTTTCTTTTTCAAAAATATACATTAAGATGGTAAATAATGATTTAATGTTTCTACTGGGTTACTAGAACTTGTATTTTAAGGTTATTTTAGTAATGAAGATCAACTCAAATATTACCAGTTTGTCCTGATATATTCTTTGTAGATGTATTCTGTTCCTTTCAAAATGTTTGTTGATCATTTACTTGTAAGATAGTTATAAAAAAGTATTTTCTCCTGTCCTTCCACATGTCTTCATGGTGTAATTGAAAACAGACTCGATGCATATTCGAGAGTTCCAGGGTTCCTGTGAGAACATTGCACATTTTTCACACCTCCTGCTTCAAAATAATCTAATGACGTCACATAGTACTTAATTGTTCAAAAGCTAGTCAATAATTTTAATGCTTTTTGCCATTTTGTAGGAGAAACATTTATATTATAATGTGAAATATTTTTATAATCACTTTAAATTATTGAAAATTAGTAATTATATTTGTTATTTAATAACTGATTTAATAACAGAATTGTTAGTGCTGTGATGGTTTCGTTAATTTTGGTTCCATTTCCAGCTGAGGAGATGCTGATGTCCTTTATTATTTATAATTCATTCTAAAAAAGCATTAGATCTGTGTATAATCAAGTTTCTCATTCAAAAATGTACATTAAAATGCTAAATAATGATTTAATGTTTCTGAGTTACATTATAAAAATAATCCAATTTCTTTGTGATGATCTTGCATTTCATTTATTAGCTTAAAATGTATTAGTATGACATGGATATGTATTAGTTTACTACTCACACATTTAAAAATAAATACCTTAAAACTTCCAAAGACTGATATAATTAAAAGTTCAAGATAGTGTGGTATCTTGATATTGTGCTTACATCAAAATTTTAACTAAGCTTTACACATTTGAGCAATATAATCACAAATTAGATAACTGACCTAAATTTCTGTAACATAACATTTAATGATTATGAAAAAGCACACAAGTGACTTAACTATCTAAAGATAAAAATTACCTTTATGGCTGGTATTCTATTTAGGATCCAGAAAAACCACAAAGCCACCTTTACGGCTAGCCCATTTCTAATGATTTCAATGTGCTTTGAACTATTAATGTGTGGATGGAGAACCCCAACATACTGATTTTTTTTACTCAAAAGACTTCTCCTTATCTAAGCAATTAAAATTTTTCTAAAAGACATATATTTCATACTTAAAATATCAGTAAATGAAACATTTAAGTTTTAAAATTTTTTATATATATATATATTAGATTTACCTAAAACATTTTAATGAACACTATATATTATACTTAGGTTCAAGTCATAGAATATCTAAATATTAATTCTGATTATTGACTTAGTCCCACAGTAGCTGAGTAGTTAAGACTGCTGAATGCTGGAAGTTTGATCATAGGTGAAAGTACTGGCTGTATGGTTTTTCCTGTGTGTAACGTAAATGTGAGCCGTTTTTCCTTAGGGAAGGCAGATAGCCCTCGTGTTCTTTGCTGTATTCAAATATCCTAATCTAAACTTTTATTCATTTTTTTCCATTTAGTGAATATGGCAGAGATAGTTATAATTCTTATGTATTACAGTGCAAGGATAAATTGTTGTTAATAAAATAAACAAATAAGTTTCATCTTTACCCCCCCCCTGTGTGT